TATGGTTTTGGACATTCTGCAATTAATTTAAAAGATGCTTACAAGAAAAATAGTGGTTGATTTTAAAGATGTCAATGAAATGCTAATTGTGTTTTTTCTGCGCTTTTTTATTCCTTTTCTCCAATATGAAAGGTGGTTAGCCAAGATTCTTGAAGGAATATATGCGTATTATTGGTGAACTGATTTTTATTGTTAAATCATTAAATTGGGTTTACTTCGTGCGTATTGCGGAAGTCAGAGATGAAGGTTGCTGATTATGGTGACTTTTTTAATCTAGAAATGGTTGTGTGACCTCATATACCACATTGGTCTTTTATTTTGACAGGCTTATCCCTTTTTATTGTTTAATTTCTTTCTTCAGACGTGCCATAATTTGTACCCGTCAGCTTTTATTCTCTTTCATTAGGTAGGTTAATGGCCATGTTTTCCTTTTTATTCGTTGTAAAATCTCTGGTGGTAGAAAGATTATTTGTCAAATATTAAAAAAAACATATTTCTGTCAAGAAAACCTTTTATGGCTCGACATGAGACTTGAGACACGAGATATGAGACATGAGGCATATATATTTATCGTGTTGCTTGTATTTTGATTACTGTTTAGTTCTCTCTTATTGAACCTTTTACTTTGGTGTCTGCCTAGTGGTCGCATTAATAGAGTGAAACTGCATGCAGTCTGAGAGGCGAAAACTTTTATGGCATACTTCGTTATGTGGATTGGACAGTGTGGGATAGAGTATCAGAGGAGAAAAAAGGAACTAAAATCACTGTCTAGTATTATCTGGTTCTACAAACCAAATAAGCACCTACATTTGAAGCATTCTACTGAGAGAATTCATCTAGTTTAATTGAATCAGTATATCACCAGCCACCAAAATTTTGGGAAAAAAAAAAAATTGATGCTGTAAATTCATCTTCTATTTGAGCTGCATGGGTTTCTCTCCCTTCTTTCCAGTCTATTATGGTGCTTTGAATAATAGTTATTTATTAAATTCTGGTTGACAAAAACACTCTCCAGCTGTGTTAATACTCAATATTTTTGGCCCAGAGTTGGTTTTTGATCCATCGAAGTGCAGTAAGTTGAGCCTGGAGCAAAAAAGAGAGCTAGTCTATGAATTATCAAATTGGTCAGATGGTGCTACAGATATCCTACAATCTTGGAGCCGCCAGGAGATCTTGCAAATACTTTGTGCAGAGTTGGGAAAAGAAAGGAAGTACACAGGCTTAACAAAGTTAAAAATAATCGACCACCTTCTCAGAGTTGTATGTGAAAAAAAGTCACAGGTGTGCGGAACTGCAAGCAATCCTGAAGCGCAACATTCACAAGAAACTGGTGAGAGGACTCCCAAACGGCCAAGAAAATCTGATCACCCAAATCGCGTGCTTGTTGCCGGAAATACTGCTACAACTAATGTTCTAGATGGTGATTTATGTAATACCACTTACTGCAAAAATTCAGCTTGCAAGGCTAAATTGAGTAACGGAGACGTATTTTGCAAAAGATGTTCATGCTGCATCTGCCACCAGTACGATGACAACAAGGATCCGAGTTTGTGGTTGGTTTGTAACTCAGACCCTCCTTTCCATGGTAATTCATGTGGCATGTCATGTCACCTGGAATGTGCTCTAAAGCATGAGAAATCTGGCATAACGAAAGATAGGCAAGATGAAGGGCTTGATGGGAGCTTTTGTTGCATGTCGTGTGGAAAAGTGAATGATTTACTCAGGTCAATAACTAGGCTTGCTGCTGCTTTATTATTTATTCATTTTCTTATATATTTGCACGGTTCGTGCAACAATATAAAAGTTCTGTTGCTTGTCTTCTTTGTATTGGTATGCCTTTATTAGCTGTTATCATCTGATATAACTTCATTTATTGTGATGCACATTTTACTATTATGAGCAAAGGAATAGACTGCAACTGGTCTTCACGATAGTAATCATTTTCACTGGTTCAGTGGTTTGCACAACCATGCTAATATTAGCTTATTTTGATTTGATATGAAAACCATTGTTTTTCAAATTTGGGGTCAATTTGGTATGGAGTGAGTGATATCAATGCTGCTGTAATTGCTGATATTTATGAAGTGTTTGGGATTCAAACTTAATTCTATATAGTCTAGTGCTGGTCTGTTTATTTTGTTTGAAGGCTGACATAGAGTTTGTTGTTTTTTCCAAGTTTCAGACATGGGAACACAATGAAAGTGTCAAGGAATCAACTAAAATATAAAACAGGACAAGAATACTCAGATATAACGCTGAGTTTGATTTGAATTGGCAATGGTTGTAGAGTTCAAGGTTAAATAAGTAATTTACATATTAATGCTATTGGCTGTTACAATGTGATTAATTGTTGGCACATAAAATATCTTATTCTAAAATTGACAAGTGCTGATATAGTGAACTTACTGATGTTTGCTGGAATTTGTTGAAAAGTATTGCAAAGTTTGGATGTATCTAAGCATTTTGTTTATGTTGGGTACAATAAAAACTTTGCTTCAATGAAGCGTGTACCTCACTTTACCTCTTGCTGAAGCCACAAGTGGCCTTTGTGCGTCAATACATTTTGCACATTTAATAACTATGCTTAAGCAAAGAAAAAAATGCAGCTCCTGGAGAAAACAGCTGATAGTGGCGAGGGATACCAGGCGGGTAGACATATTATGCTATCGACTCTCCTTGAGCCAAAAGATTCTTGCTGGTACTAAACATTACCAAGATCTATATGGAATCATGGATACAGCTGTGAAAAAACTTGAAGAAACACCAAAAGAAAAAAAAAAAAGAAGGGCCAGTTTCATTAAAATATTGGTCTACATCTGAAGCATAAGTTAACCGTTTGACTAATTCATGTTGTTATTTTTTTCTTTCTTCCATCTTATCTAGATCATGATATGCTTGCCGCGCAACTTATCAGGTTAGAAGATGTAGATGTTTCATCACTCATGGTGATTTTGAATTGTGCTGATTCAAATTTGGGAAATGTCACGGGTTATACTTTATGGTACCGGAAAGCTGATGATGCAGACTATCCAGCGGAACCTACCTTTAGATTGTTCACACCAAATTCAAGGTATTTGCTTTCGGGTCTAACCCCAGATACTCATTATCTTCTCAAGGTCGTGCCTCATGGCAGTAACGGGGATGTGGGAATGTGTGAAGTCCGGTTTCAAACCAGTAGTTCTCCGAACAAATTTTCGGATGTAAACTCTAAAAGCTTGGAAGTAGATAGAAGTCAAAGTCCAGCTACCAACTGTAGCAGCCTTTCTAATCCTTCTTCCGTAGAAGATGAAACTAATAATGTTGTGCCCTGCAGCAACGGGGATGACAATAGAGAGGGTAATTATCTTGGTTATTGCAGAAATGTTGATAAAACCGCCTCGATAAATTTACTTAATGACACCAACAACTGCTCAGACGAGAGACAAAAAGAGACTACTAGAAATGCAGTCCCTCTGTTAGATGAAGAACATAATGCAGATGATGTAAACATCAAAAACAAAGATTCTTCAGATGGCCAAATGGTCAAGAAAACGAGCCCTGATAATGGGTCAAACAATCCTCGTCCTACTGGATTGGAATGCGTGCCATACACTCCTTGCAAGTTGGAGAATGTGAAGGATGGGATTGGAAAGAACAACGGACCCAAACTCGCAGGTAAAGATCTTGATATTGTGTCCAGGAGGGATGAGCCTCAGGCAGGCAGCTCATCAAAGAAGAGTATTGGGGAAAGACTAGACGAGGAGTGTAGTGGAATCGGAGACAAGGATTTCGAGTATTATGTCAAAGTAATCAGATGGTTGGAGTGTAATGGTCATATCGAGGCAACCTTTAGACAGAAATTCCTGACTTGGTACAGCTTGAGAGCAAACCCGCAGGAGGTGAGGGTTGTGAAAGTCTTTATCGATACGTTTATCGAGGACCCGGCCTCTCTTGCTGGACAACTTGTTGACTCCTTCTCCGATGTTATTTCAAACAAGAGTAGTTCTATGGTACCAGCAGGATTTTGCATGAAGCTTTGGCACTGATGTATTCTACCATTTCAGGATTTAGTGTGCAAATCGAATGAGATTTGCTTGCTTCATTCTTTGGGAGTTAGAAATGTTTTCATCATTCTTCATATAAAATATCATCATTTATATTTAAAACTTCAGGACGTTATTAGTTCTTTATTTATGTAGTACCTCCGGATAATGTTATTCTGTTATAGAATTTCCTGTCTATTTATGGATAATTAACTCCCTCTGCTTGTTTAGCTTTTCAAGTTTTGGTAGTGTGTATTATGAAAGTGATTTGGTGGTGGAAATTAATGTTAGGGTTTTCCATGTGGAATGAGTGAACACGAAGACACAAATATCTCTAGTTCAACTTTCACTATTGCTCATTTATGAAAATTACACGGGGTGGTCGTGTAAACAAAGATTGGTTTGAGTTTCATTGCTTTTTGGAATGCTTTGAGGAGGTTGTGTATTGCTATATTCCAATTTTATAGTTTAGGATTTGTAATATCAAGCTTTATCTATTTGCAAGATCGCACATGGGCTCGCAGAAACTGAACTTAGAGCGAGTTTTGCACATGAATTAGTAGTCAATGGGTCCTTTTTGCTTTTCGAACGTGAAGAATAGGTCGGGAGTATAGGATTAGACCAAGCGAGTTTTGCACATAGACTCATAGTCGATGGGTCATTTTTGCTTTTTGAAGGTGAAAAATAGGTAGGGAGGATAGGATTAGACCTTCTGAACGCTATGAAGCTACATTATATTGACTCTAATTTTTCGAAAAATTATGCTACATTGTCAGAATATTTTGTCCACTTTTTTGATGTGACATTCTGTCATTGGATTGTTTAAGGAACATTCAGTTTTTGCACATAATCATCTGTTGTCAACACTACAACTGTCAAATAGGTGGACAAAATAATCTAACAAATGGTTCAACTCTTCTTAGGAGATGCTTTAAGGAGAGTGATGTCGTAACATGCTTAAAATAAGTAGATGAAACCAGCAGTCGAAAGAAATCAAAACAGCGGCAGAAAATGGTGATGAAACCAATGCTCAAGTCCCTAGCAAAACTCTTCACCACCTTGAACTTGTCCCACTCTACCGCTCACAACCAATCCCACCTCACCTCTCAATTACTACACAGTCTATCTTTGTCCTTTTCTCCAACCAATTTCTTCTTTTTCAGCATACTCAAGATTCCACTTTTTTTAAACACACCCCATCAATTTTTTTCTTCTGCTGAACATTTTTTTTTCCTCCAAGTTGAAAAATGTCTGCTACTGGTTTCTCAGCTGTGGTTGCTGGATCAACCTATGCAGGTTTGACATCCAATTGCTCTAAGATTTTCCCTCAGAAGGACTCAGTTTCTTGGAGCAAGAAAACTGTTTCAAATGGCTCTAAAACTCACTGCATGAAGGTAAAATTATTAACACAAGTCTTGATGTCCACTGTTTTAGTATTCACCATTAACACAAATTTGAATTTAACAGACTTGGAACCCCATCAACAACAGGAAGTTCGAGACCCTTTCATATCTTCCACCTATCTCCGATGAATCGATTGCAAAGGAGATTGACTACATGATCAAAAAGGGATGGATCCCTTGTCTTGAATTCGACGAGGTACGATTTAAATAAATATATCAGTCTTCTTTCTAACACCTTAACTTCTTAGATGAAGCAGCTTAACACAGTATGAGAGCACGCGTAGATCTTGAATTCGTATTTTGCGACTGCCCATTTATGAAAATGATAGTGTGTTTGGCAAATATTGCAATAACTAATTTGTCTCGTCTCAGATCGTGTAACCTTTTAGAAAAGGTAGTTAGGATGGAGGAAAAACTTCATTCGCTAACAAATATAACCTCATCGAACGGAGCTGATCTCTCGTCCACAGTGGGAAGGATATCGATCGCCTAAAATGGCGTTGTCACATCAACAATCAAATCGTATTATTTTATATTTTTTACTTTTCAGAAAAATATAAAAAATACCTAATCATGTGGAATTTGGCGTGTAGGCATTATAAATCTTGTCCACTGTAGACAGGGGAGCATTTTTATCTCATTAAAATAGTCAAAAAGATGGTCATTTTTTCCTTCCGTCGAGTTCCGTCCAGTACTGTCCTCAATTTACAGGTCTGGTTTGATTTGGAAGGTGGGATGTGTGCACAGAGAAAACAGCAGGATGCCAAATTACTATGATGGGAGATACTGGACTCTGTGGAAGCTGCCCATGTTTGGCTGCAATGACTCCTCTCAAGTTCTGAATGAAATTCATGAGTGCAAAAAGGAATACCCCAATGCTTATATTCGCTGTTTGGCATTTAACAACGTCAAACAGGCACAGTGCATGGCATTTCTCATCCAGAAGCCAAACACCGCCTAAAGCTTTTCTTGATTAGACAAGTGTGTGATCAGCTTATTTTGTTGTCTTCCCGTGCGACTTTTAAGAATAATTCTAATCAACTTGTTTTAGAGAAAGAGAATCTCTCATAAAATAAGTTGCTTAAACTGTTGAATCACATGGTATGGGATCCTGGTTTAAGCACATAGAATTGATTTTTGGTGCCCCTTGTTTTGAATAGCAAGCTGTAAAAGTTCTTTCTGTTTTTAAATTATAATAAGCCCTTGTTTGGTAAATTTAAAAAAAAAAATGATTAAAATTAAATCAAAATTAATAATTAATTTTAACCTGTATATCTCATAAGATCCATTGAAGAAGTCGTTACCGACTTTGGTATGAATTTTCCATATTCATTTAGGATTTTACTAACTTTATTATCTCTGCTTAGTCATAGAAAAATCTGGAAAATATATTGAAGATACTGCCCACCACCATTCTAGATCTCTCTAGCAAAATGGCTTATAATCAATGGAATAATAAAAAATTAAAGCTTCCATCTCCACTGACATATCACTCCTATAAATATGGTTCCATCTCGGCACTTTGTATACACACAGAAATTGATAGAGCAGAGTGTGAAAGAGAAAGAAAGAGTGAGATAGTGCAGGAGAGAAAAATAGTGTATCGGAGAGAATTAGAGATAGTGCTATCAAAATTGTAATTGTGATTTATATCAATAAAATTATTTTCATTTGGTCTTTAAACTCAACATCCATAACTTTTCAACCACAATTCTATCAACTTTTATCAAATTTTACTAAGAATATGATTTTTAATACCTACCAAACAAGGGCTAAATAAGGTAAATTTGTCTGTGGTTAAGGTAAAATCAGCTCAATCATGCTATATAGACGTAATGACTGATATAATACTTGATATAATGACATGTGGTTACCTATCATTGGATTGTTTGAGATACAATCAATTTTTTCAACTAATCATATCTTGTCAACATTTATTATGTCAACCACTGTGTCACATATTTTCTGACTAAGTAGCATTATTCAAATCAACTATAGAAAGGACGTGGGCTAAAAATGGGGTTACCCTTTTTAAGCCCATGCTTGAATACAAATTTGTAAATTTAGTCAAAGTCAAATACGAATTTCAACAATACTTTCTTAATTACTATTCATTATTATTAATACATTTTGTGCATCATATTATTGTTCCTCTTACTATTCTTATTTATAAACTATTTATAAATGAACGATACTATTTAGCATTACTGTTGTTATACCATCAGTCTATGTGACATTAAATGAAAAGTTCAATAAAATTGAAAGGTAAAATTAAGTAACTAATTTTATTGTACATATTATTTAAAGTCATATTAGTATCATCTGCACTTCTATTTTAATACCAATAATGCTAAATAAATTACTCTCTATAAATTTAAAAGGAACTGAGGCTTAATAATTGCAACTCTTGGTCTAATACACATAATTTCATGAATAGGCAGGCTAATGATAGTTCTATTATAATTGTTGAAGAGAGTAGGTAAGATTCACGTTTTGTCAAAGGCCTATACACAGAATTTTATGAATAGGCGGGCTAATAATAGTTCTAGTTTTGGTCAAATTATAGAGAAATTTCATGTTAGTCACTGTAATTTTATTTTGTATTAGAGTAGTCACCAATGTCAACTTTCTCTTTTTGCTTGGTCACCGAGTTAAATAACGTTAATTCTTCTAACGAAATGTTATGCAATGCCATCTTAAAGAAAAATTTACGAAATTTATTGAGAGATCAATTTGAGACAAAATAAATAAATAAAGCTTCGTAATCATTTTGAAATAAAATAAAGTTCAGTAACTAACATAAAATTTCTTTATAAGTTGATTAAATGCGATATTAAAACTTAGATTCACAGCTATTGTCTTAATCAAATATCAAGTTAAACTATCTCGTCTGAACAAATATTTAGACTAAGAAACTATACCAATATAAAATTCAGAGTCTTGGCATTGCATCTGCCACAGTAATTTGTGCTAGAATATGGAATGTTTGGCTTAGCACAATGGCACCAACAATGTTCTATCATTTGTTAGGTAATTTGAAAGGTTTAACCTAATTACTTGTGCAATTTCATAAGGAAAAAAACCATAATCTTGCAATTAATTCTCTTATCACAAACATACTATATTTACCTACATCTACTTATATATAGTATAAGTGCAGGAGCGGACCCACTAAGGAACGAGTTGGGTTGGCTGCTCCACTGAATTTTCGAAAACATTCAATTCGACCTTGTTAAATTTAAATTTTCAGATTTTTTTTTTCACAATTTTTTTTATCCAATTTTCTGTCTCTCCCCCCACGAAAGAATAATTTTAGGTCCCCCTGAGTAAGTGAACGTAAATAGGAGTGTATAATACCATGTTATCACAAACTATGGTTGGTTGATTTTTGGTATGCTATGTCCATTTGCATGTTTAATATTGAGATACCACAAAATATCATTCAACTCATGAATGAAATTGTGCAAATATTAGTACATTTTGATTTTTTATTCGAGAGATTACATACTTTGTAAAATTTTGAAAGTTAAAATATAACAAGCATCTGGATGAAGCGCTAACTAGGTTTGAGCATCTCCATCTACGTCCCTAAGTCGATCCTTTATAACATTGCATGCATAACATGCAGAATATATAGAGAAGTATTACACTCAAATAAATGTTATGTTCAATCTCTAAAATTGCTAGCCTATCTCTACTATCTATTTTTTAACCGGTGAAACTTATGAAATGAGTTTTAAAATTCAAATTTAAAAGATCGTATTTGTAAAAGATATAGATACAGGAATATAAAATATTCTCTTTCTCTGAATTGGAAATGTTTAAATGAGTTGATTTAACGTGATATTAAAATAGAAAAATATCTTGCTTTTAAGCTTCATTATCACCCATTTACAAAGATATTGCATATTAAGCTTTTAATAAAAAAAACTTCATATAATCATATAAATAAGTTTAAAGAAAAAAACAATTTTTTTTTAATAAAAGTAAAATTTATAGCTTATTTGTCTTCCCTTTAAAGTAAAAAGAAGCCTTCATCTCGAGTTGTTCCAGCGATCTAGTGAAACACGTTTAGATACCTTATTTTTAAATTCAAGCAGCCAAAAAGAATTACTTGTTTTCAGTAAAAGTTACTATAGAATTTACTATCGAGTAGATTTTTTAAACTTAGCCAAATGACCGAGTTTACATAGGCGCACGCTCACCTAGAGATTTTTAACGAGCCAAGTTGGGCTCGACTTGCTTCAAGAAAAATGAGGCTCATCTCGACTTGCACCCATCGACTTGCCCAAAAGTGAGATGAGCTAAACCAACTCATGAGTTTAATTTTTTTAATTAAAGAATCTTTTTTTCTTCCTCAACTCTCGGACAAGTCAGCGATTGATTCGTACGAAAAATTTTCAGCTCAATTTATTCCATAACTCACAAGGTGAACGGCTTGCCCCAACGTAACATCCTAAAGAATAAAAGAAAAAAGCTAGAGATCCCGAGATAAAATCCTGAGATTCAGTCCAGGGGCCGAGGTGGGAAAAAAGCTAGAGATCCCGAGATAAAATCCTGAGATTCAGTCCAGGGGCCGAGGTGGCAGACCTCGGCGAACGAGTTGGGTTGGCTGCTCCACTGAATTTTCGAAAACATTCAATTCGACCTTGTTAAATTTAAATTTTCAGATTTTTTTTTCACAATTTTTTTTATCCAATTTTCTGTCTCGCCCCCCACGAAAGAATAATTTTAGGTCCCCCTGAGTAAGTGAACGTAAATAGGAGTGTATAATACCATGTTATCACAAACTATGGTTGGTTGATTTTTGGTATGCTATGTCCATTTGCATGTTTAATATAGAGATACCACAAAATATTATTCAACTCATGAATGAAATTGTGCAAATATTAGTACATTTTGATTTTTTATCCGAGAGATTACATACTTTGTAAAATTTTAAAAGTTAAAATATAACAAGCATCTGGATGAAGCGCTAACTAGGTTTGAGCATCTCCATCTACGTCCCTAAGTCGATCCTTTATAACATTGCATGCATAACATGCAGAATATATAGAGAAGTATTACACTCAAATAAATGTTATGTTCAATCTCTAAAATTGCTAGCCTATCTCTACTATCTATTTTTTAACCGGTGAAACTTATGAAATGAGTTTTAAAATTCAAATTTAAAAGATCGTATTTGTAAAAGATATAGATACAGGAATATAAAATATTCTCTTTCTCTGAATTGGAAATGTTTAAATGAGTTGATTTAACGTGATATTAAAATAGAAAAATATCTTGCTTTTAAGCTTCATTATCACCCATTTACAAAGATATTGCATATTAAGCTTTTAATAAAAAAAACTTCATATAATCATATAAATAAGTTTAAAGAAAAAAACAATTTTTTTTTAATAAAAGTAAAATTTATAGCTTATTTGTCTTCCCTTTAAAGTAAAAAGAAGCCTTCATCTCGAGTTGTTCCAGCGATCTAGTGAAACACGTTTAGATACCTTATTTTTAAATTCAAGCAGCCAAAAAGAATTACTTGTTTTCAGTAAAAGTTACTATAGAATTTACTATCGAGTAGATTTTTTAAACTTAGCCAAATGACCGAGTTTACATAGGCGCACGCTCACCTAGAGATTTTTAACGAGCCAAGTTGGGCTCGACTTGCTTCAAGAAAAATGAGGCTCATCTCGACTTGCACCCATCGACTTGCCCAAAAGTGAGATGAGCTAAACCAACTCATGAGTTTAATTTTTTTAATTAAAGAATCTTTTTTTCTTCCTCAACTCTCGGACAAGTCAGCGATTGATTCGTACGAAAAATTTTCAGCTCAATTTATTCCATAACTCACAAGGTGAACGGCTTGCCCCAACGTAACATCCTAAAGAATAAAAGAAAAAAGCTAGAGATCCCGAGATAAAATCCTGAGATTCAGTCCAGGGGCCGAGGTCTGAAAAAAGCTAGAGATCCCGAGATAAAATCCTGAGATTCAGTCCAGGGGCCGAGGTCTGAAAAAAGCTAGAGATCCCGAGATAAAATCCTGAGATTCAGTCCAGGGGCCGAGGTCTGAAAAAAGCTAGAGATCCCGAGATAAAATCCTGAGATTCAGTCCAGGGGCCGAGGTGGCAGACCTCGGCGACCTCGGCCCCCCATGTAAAAGGGGTGGGCCCCGCATGTGTGAAAGATCGACCCTTATCCCGGGTTCTGAAGCATCACTCAAGAGTAAAATCAAGTGTACAGATGATTTATTGACAGAATTTTTCCAGATGCTAGTTGGCAGCATCTAAGTGGTCAGTTTTATTTTTTATTTTATTTTTTGCAGTCGCCAATAAAATGGCGGCACATCACCATTTGTATAAATTCTGCAATCACATTTTAAAAACACCTTAGCGCACAAAGTCGTGGGAGTTCACGCAAAAACGTTATACATAAAAAACTGATTTGCAGCGCAACGCATTTTCACAAACACTTGGCTCCACTTTTAACCTGATACCGTAACCCGTCAACCCAATGCCGTAAATTCAATTTCAGTTTCCGAATTCTAAGCGCTAAGTCGGTGACTGGACAACCAACCGGCGCCTGCGAACTGATAAGGAGAAAAGCCAATGCACTGATTAATAGCAAAGAGTAAATGAAGGCAATGCTCCCATGTGCAACGTGATAAGGAGCTACAAAAGCAAGGAGTAATTTCTAAACCGCCAGAAATATTTTGCATCCGGCAGGTATATTTTCTTCAGTTTTCTTGATTCCAGCTTTCCAATGGCTTAAACAAGACAGAATTTATTCAATTAAATGTTGATAAGAATTGTCATATAAATATCTCATCAAAAAATATTACCCATCCCAGTTTGAATAGATTCCAGTCTGCATAATGCAGAATTATCCTTTAAATTCACTCTGCACAAAACCCTTTATGAAAAATCTTACTAATGGTAAGTACACATTACTCTTATACGCGCAATTTCGGTTTATGACAACCAGCAAAAGGATCCAAGACCGCAGCAAGAGTAAGCGAGTCCACCACCTAGAAATCGTCATAGAAAAGCACAAAATAATCTCCAAAATCTTGAATTTATTAGAAATCCTCAAAAAAGAACCCGAACAAATCATAACCTTAAAAAATCTTGACCAGCATCGAAAACAAATCAATCTTCCCAAGCCCCACAAAATTTCTGATTTTCTTCAGAAATCTCCAAAGCTCTTTGAGCTGTACAAGGACCAAAGGGGTGTTGTTTGGTGTGGAATGACACAAAAGGCTGAGGAATTGATTATAGAGGAGGATGAGATTATAGAAAGGCATAGTGATAAGGTTGCAGAATATGTGACTAGAATGCTGATGATGGCAGTAGATAAGCGTCTACCGCTGGATAAGATTGCACACTTTAGACGAGATTTTGGTTTGCCTTTGGATTTCAGGAAGCATTGGGTGTATAAGTATCCTGAAAATTTTCGTGTAGTTCAGCCGTTCAAGCCTTATGATGAGGGAGAGTACTTGGAGCTTGTGTCCTGGAAGGCTAGTTGGGCAGTAACGGAGTTGGAGAAGAAGGTGTTAGGTTTAAATGAAGAGTTGGATGCTAATGATCATGTCCCGGGATTGCTTTCATTGGCTTTTCCTCTGAAGTTTCCGTCTAATTTTAAGAAGGTGTATAGGTATGGTGGGCAAATCGACCATTTCCAAAAGAGGGAGTATCTTTCTCCTTATGCAGATGCTCATGGTTTAACAGCTGGGTCACGAGAGTTTGATAAGAGGGCAGTTGCAATAATGCACGAGTTGCTTAATTTCACGCTTGAAAAGAGGTTGGTGACTGACCATCTTACACATTTTAGGAGGGAATTTGTCATGCCTCAGAAGCTAATGAGGCTTTTGCTAAAGCATTTTGGGATTTTTTATGTTTCTGAAAGGGGAAAAAGGCTTAGTGTGTTCTTGAATGAGGCTTACAAAGGATCAGAGTTAATTGAGAAGCACCCTTTGGTTGTTTGGAAGGAAAAGGTTCTAAGACACATTGGTTATAGAGGGAAGAAGAAGGAGATAGGGACTTTTGATCATTTGTCGGACATGGAGGATAAGGATTTGTTTGAGAGTGATTCAGAAGATGAGAGTGTTAAGCTGCAATTCGAGCAGGCTGACACCTTGAGTTGTTTAGAAAGCGATCTACCTCCGGATGGTTCTGAGATGGAGATTGAGGAGATTTGCAGGGCATACGAGGATTGAATTATCACAAGGTAAAAACTCTACTCTTGATTTTGTTCTGCCACTCATTCTTCTTTTTGCATAATATTGATACACATTCATATCAGTGAAAATTTGTCCTCGTGGTTTCGAATTTTGTATGGGACAGTCACCTCACATTACTTATTATCCTCATACCGTTTTACCATCTAAATTATTTATTATCTCATTATTATCTATGATCACATTACTTATTGTCATCTCATCCCCAATATCATGCCCGAGTTAGTTATTTTTTTCGTTGAATAGTGGGGGTAATTTTTCATCCAGAACTTATTAATCTATTTAAATTATTTTATTCGAATCTATCCTATAACAATATTGGATCTTATGGATGACGCATTGATATCCATTAATGTTATTGATTTTATGAATAATACAACAAGACTCAAAAATATAATTCAATAGCAAACTCTTATTAAAAAAAAAAAAAAAAAAAAAAATTAAAAAAAAAAAAAAAAAAAAAAAAACATTTTTTTTTTTTTAAAAAAAAAAAAAAAAAAAAAAAATTCAATAGCAAACCAAGGGTTTTAGTTTCTCTTGGTTACTTCGTTTAAAGTCTGTATTTTATGGTACACTATCATTATGATCTGAGCTGTTTAGTCAGGCCCGTAATATTTTAATCATCTTAACTTCATAGTAGAAATCAATAGGAGCTTAAATTTTTTTGGAGTCCATTGTAGGTCAAACACTAGTCAGCTTTGACTATATACTTCAATTTGAACAGGAATATATTGTCTTATATTGGGAGAGTAAGAGATTTTTAAATAGCATATAGTACATCATTTTCTGTTGCATAATATGTTACCATTGAATTACTAAATTGAATTGCAAATTGCAAGGTCTTATTTGCTCTAAGAAGAGGTGATAATTTCAATACTACAACTCTTACTATGTCTGCATGCCCAGGAGAGTAGGCCCCTGGCTATTTTGCTTTGTTAGCCTTTATCTGCATCTTTATGACTCTTCATATTGCGTTTGCTTCTGCCGAATGAAATGTTGTTTCCTGCTTAACCTTTGTAAATGACTTATATTTGTGATCTGTGATGTTATTTTATACCACATGTTTATAAAATTATGTTATTGTGCCAAGTTTTCCCTTTTCAACGTAATAGTGCTTTTCAAATGGCAATGGTTGTGGTTTACTAACAATTGAATATTTCCCTTCAGACTGTACTGCTGGCTGACACCAGATTCTACAACTTGGGCATTACGATTATGCGTTAATGTTAAGAGATTGGACATAATTCTTCTTTGAAGGGTTGGTGCAATGCAGGGATCAATAGAGACCCCAAGGCTCTTGATTTTCTTCTACATTGGTAAACTTTACAATTGCGGTATTTGTTCAGCCTTACAGGTCAGCCGTTACATTATGAATACCCACATCTAAGAAGCAAAGGTGGCTAATTTTTTGCATCCACACCACAAGAAACTTCTGGAAATATTTCTACCTCCGAATGTCTGATAGGTGTCCAGTTGCTTTGACAACGACTTATGATATCATTAACAGAATTTCATAAACAAGTTACAAGAGCTTTCTGATTTTTCGAGCGCAAGAACAAGGCTAAAAAGAATGAGACTGTACATAGTAGCATACATCTCTGGATATTCTTATTTATTAGCTCAGGCCAAAATCCACAATGTTTGCACTGGAAAAAAATGTGCTTTCTGTTATGTTACATACGCAGAATTATTTATTTCTGATTTGCGATGAGCTAATGAAAAATCATTGTACTACTGATTTCCTTTTTTTCTCTTCATAGATTTTTCACTCTGAAAACTTAATAAAATTTCTGTATTGTTCACTGAGGATTTGAATTTAAACATTCATGGGAGATCCCGTTCCTTCATCTTCACACTGTAGTTGAGCGGCTTGAGCCATTCTTTGTTGGAATTTTTCAGTTGATTATTTGATTCTTATTCTTCTTGTCATAGTCCCAATGAGACCTTTATTGCTTGTTTGTTAAGACCTTTGCTCATTTTTGTAGAAGAGCTTTCCATAGGACGTATAGGGTTTTTAATTTTTAGTACATTTACTCTTCAACAATATTGGTATGAGTGTTTGGTGTACCTACTTGGTAGAGCTACGAGCCAACCTTTTAGATCAGCTAACCTGAAAGACCCCCCCTCCCCCCCTTTTATTTTAAAGCTAGGGAGTTTGCTGAGTAAACAGGTCTCGAATGGGTCTCTTCTCCCTCTTTCCTTTTGCATACTCACCTGTCTTTGTTCGGACTAGGCATTTGTCAAATGAAACTTAGTAGCATGCCTTCATAAGTAGGATCCTACTCTAAGACGTGGTGTCGCTTACTTGGCTATAGCAAAGCACTTACCAAACGCGAAGTAAAGGGCCTTTGCCACTTCAGCCATATGCGAGGAACTCGAAACCTATTATTTTTGGACCATTTCTATTTTTATAGTCTTTTTGACATGAATCAAGGGATGAAGTGCATCACTGGCATAAAATGGGTTTCAGGTGTAACAAACGAGACTGCATTCAGATACTCAAAATTTCTGTAAGAGCTGCAAGTATATGGATATTTGATACCAGAAATAGAATGATTTCCGCTCCAACCATTACTCTTCCAAGTTTTGTAAGGAAAGTCACGTTGAACTAACTGTCAATGAAACTCAGATAGACAAATCCTTCTAGAAGCAATTTTTAGTTTCTAAAGATCTTTTGACTTTTCGGAAGTCTTGTAAAATAGGCCTTTATTTGTAGTGAAAATTTTGAACAATGTTATATGTATAGAATTTTATTTTTATTTTTATTTTTTGTACAGAATTTGTACAGAAAAACAGTTGTCTTCTAGTAATTGGTTATTGCTAAAAACAGTTTTTGACAACAAATCACAAGAAGAAAACTATCTTTCTGTACCAATTATGTTTAAAAAAAAAAAAAAAATCCGTACTTGCAGATTAATTGGAAAAATTTATACCGTTGTTTCACAAAATTGAGTATGTATATTATCGTAATCACAAAAGAGTCGATAGTTTCTCCAACAATTTAAAAAAAGAGATTTCAAGAAGTTGATTACATATATCATTCTAACCAAACACCTCCACTCTACCCCGTGGGGGCGGGGTAGGTGTTCTTTAACTTTAATGAACGTGTGCAGATAATCACTTCTTAATCTCTTGATTGGGAATAATCGAGTTAATGGCAAAGAGGGTCTTCTCCAACATAAAATGGTTAAAAAACCAAAAAAGAATATAAAATGTGTTCCAACCATGTGAAAGGGTATGGTGCAGGCTTCCCATGTAGGAGAAAATAATATAATTTCTTGATTTTTTAAATATTTGGAGACAGATAAGATTTGGATTTTGGACCCTTAACTTTTGGAGAAAGTGATGCCTTGGGAAGTTTCTTATCCCCTAAATCTCAATCTCGATGATAATTATTATATATTTAATCATCTCTTCAATCAATCGCTTAGTCATTTTGGAGAATGGGTCATGCCTCTGTAGATCATATTTTGACTAATCATATTTCTTTATCATGGAATGTAACGGCGATACAAGGAAATTACTATACAAATTTAAGTTAATATTTCTCCTATAGATCGAAAGAGGAAATGTAAGGTTTCTTGCTGCGATGTATATAAGTAATATTTGGCAAAATAAGTAAAATAGTGAGTTGGACTTACTTTTTAAGTTCAATCAAACATTAAAATATTAACCTTTCTTGAAGGACAACTTGATGTGATTGGTAACACACCTAGAAGATGATAAACACATACGCAAGTTCATGTGTGTACTTTAAGATTTAAATGAGACAAAATTGGATCCCAAGATCTTTTAAGTATTGGGTGCTTAACGTAGTTCATATTCCTAACAAGTGGCTTGTTAGAGGGTTTCGAAGGTTTACCTCGACTTTACCTAAAGGAAAAATGTCATGTGCTGCAAAGACCTGTCTGGAATATTTTGTTCACAGTACTACATTGGCTGAAGTTTAGGAGGTGTACATGTATCTTTTTTTATTCTTATGTGGGTCCCTTATTTGATCTTCCTATAACACAACACTCCTAAATACAATGTTCAGATTAAACTAGGCAAAATATTCTAACTAGCAACAGCTATATTTCCTTCTTACACATAAACAACACATGCACCTAGACAAAACAGGCTGTCAAGCTTAGTTTTTTAAACTATGATCATAATTATTGCAGAACATGAATTATATGACTTTGTATTAGCCCCATAAGAGAACACACTTTAATTTTCTGCAGGTTGATCAATGAGCCTAATAGGAGAATTCTGCGTTTGGTTTGGGTACGTATATTTTCTCAATAGACTCAATCTTGCATTGAGAGTGAACCACTCTAAATTGTATGTGCTTTACTTGCTTTGGATTTTCTTTTTTCACGTTATTATTTCGGAAGTATGGATTTTTCTTTTCATGGTGGCATAATTCTGATGCCTGCCATTTTTCTTCTATAATTTTTGATATTTTGAGTGCCTCAAGTCTCAATCTTTGCCTTTAATGGTGTATGAGAATAAACTCACCCCACGCAGTGTAGGATGAGCTTTTACTTTACTGGGGGCACTATGCTAATTACAACAATAAATCTCTCTGTTATAGCCATTCATTGATATAATTTAGGATGACAGAAAGATCTGTTTGACAAATATTATCTCATATGATCAAGTCTTAATATAGTCTAAATTCAACAATTTTTACTATTAGTTAGTTTCAATTATTTCTGGAATCCATTAAAAGAATTTTCCAGCCTGCTTTATATATTATCTGCACCTGATATGACCAATTTCGCAAACAGTTAGGCATAAGTTGTTCTTGAAATCACTTGCAGTTGTAGCCTGTTCAAAAAGGTGGATTATTAAGAACGAAAATAAAGTAAAAATCGTGTTTCTTAAGTGTCAATTCCAGTCTAATATTGTATAGCAAACATTATGTACAGAAGTTTTTGTGTATGTTATGTTTTCCATGGAGTTCAATGCTTGTTTCAGTACTTTATATCTTATGGCCACCAACTTTCGTCTTTCAGGTATGGCAACTGAACTTCAACATACGATAAATCTGTCGACTAGGGCTTCAAGTGAACACTTTTTTGCTTATCGATTGAGGTTGAAGAATCATTCGAAAAGTGACTTTTGCAAGCTCAGATGTTCAATGGATAGGCTGCAGCAAAAATTACCCAACATACAATCCATGAAGAATACAATGCTGATGCATGAAGAAATTTTCAATCAGCAGGTGTGAATTATGCATTTCCATCTCTCTTTTGTAATTTACATTCTTTTAATCTTCAAAAATTTAGGATTTTTCTTACCAGTTTTATGCTTATGCTAATGTAGTCGAAAAATGCTATCTAACACCAGTGATATTCAACAACTAGCATAAGTGTTACCATATAATGGGCTCAATAACAATTGAAATCATATGACTCATTTAATTGATCCTATCTTTTAATGATACTTAATGTCATCTAGACTAGTGTTGTAGCATCATTGGTACTAAATAGCATTATTTTATATAGTTCACATTATCAAACAAGTGATATGATCTACACAAATTGCAGGTTCGAGAGCTCCATCGGTTGTACAATCTTCAAAAGAAGATAATGCACGAGCTTAATAACAAAATAACACGAAAGGCAGGGGTAAAAGAGACAGATATTAACCACCATGCGTATAATTTGAGAGATGATCAAAGGGAACTGAGTGGTAGCTGCTCAGGGGAGAGCTCAAGATTGCCACTCAAATTCGACCTCAAAAAACCTGCAGAAGAGGGCACACCATCTAGTACTCAAGTGAAAAAGGAAACAAAAAGTGTAGACGAAGAAGCTGATGTGGAAACCGACCTGACACTGAGCATTGGGCATTGCCCAAAGGAGAAGAGGCCGAAAAAACAATGCAGCCCACAATTAGGGGATCGCAAGCAGTCGAGTCGTTCGACAAAAACGGGCAAAGGAGAAGAATACGGTGAGCCAGGCTCTAGTATGAGTAGTACAAGTGGCACCCCAAATCAAGCTAACAAGCGGCCTCATTGGCTGCTACAAGATCTCAGCCTAAATAGAACATGATCTTACTGTCTATAGCCATTTTTAACACGACATCCATGAAGAAATTCCTTGTTTTTAACTTAAAATGTAAAATGTCATTGAAAAGGTCAGATTGTATAACTATTTGACAACTTATTTCTCTGCTTCATTTGGCCTCATTTTGTAGGTGACATACATAATCCAATGAACACCATTTTCAGAATACGACATTTGTGCATGTATTGTGACAATATAACAGTTAAATAAAGCTCAACCAATCCATGAAATAATATTTCAATAACAGGTAATAATCGCATCAGAAGAGTTATACCACAGTAGCAGAAATCCTCAATCTTATACACAGCGTCTTGAATCTTGATTACACTTTCACATGCCCACCAAAAAAGTCATTGATTAAGCAATAAAGCATTTGAAAGTTCTACTAAAGGGTCCCCTTTCCATCCAAGTAAAGAAAATGTATTGAGGACAAGACAGTAAAAAAGGGTCTTGAACAGAGGTTGCCATCGCACTGTAGCCGCATATTTGCAGTATGACACCTGCAGCAATATATCAACACAATCTGAGATCCAGGTAAAGACGTGCGTTCATGTTAAAGAAGCCAACTTATCATAGAAATTAACATAGTTATTCTCAAGTACAGGAAATTCAGCAGAAAGCACCAGCAGAAGTTTTCAGTATTCTTTTAATAACAATGAATATATTCTCTTTATAATTTAAAACTGAGATTCTTAATTTAGATGCTATCAAAGATCCACAGCAAGTGACAAGTAAAAGAAAATGAATAGGATCAAATAATCTGTAAAAAGAATTTGTCATCAAAACGCCACTAGTTAAACATTTTAAGTCCAGAGTCATATTTGAAAACTTTATTTCATTAAAAACAGATGGGAAATCCAGTTCAACCTAGATTTTAATCAACCATGACATCTATTTGACCAGAAATCGAAGAGTGCTTCAATGAAGATTGAGTCTTTCCCAATCTTTGCAACAGGTGAAAAAGCATTGCTCCGAACATAACACGGCTAAATGTACATATGCTGATTCAAAATGGAAAGAAAATGATAAGACGCACGCACGCATGTTTGTTTCAGTGTCTGAACTCTGAAGCCTCCAAAACTTCCACCAAATGTGATACGTACTACGAATTTGATATTTATGTCAAGGTTATATAGATAAGGTTAGAAAAGTACCTGTACATGATATAATGGGCATATCGGATTTTCAGCTGCCAAGGAGGACTCTCTGAGGATCAAGCTGCCCACTGCAGTAACTTGAAGGCACAGCAGAAAGTTCCTGCCTTCCTCTCCACTCCTCACCGGGCTTCAAAGTGATAGGTTTTTCCACTGCAGCAGCCTCAACACAAAGCATGTGCTTGTATTCATCATCTCCAAAATCAGCCATTGCCTTTGCCTTCTTATCCCAAGGATTCCATACAACTACAAGCAAAAAACAAAAGCTCAATTCCACCTGAAAATCTAGAAAAATACAGTAAATGCAGACTGATCATAAACCAAATATATCACCAACTCTAAAAATAAGAGAAACGAACAATAACTTTAAGCAGGGTAGGAGAATTGATTCTTTCTTCTTTTTTTTTTTTTTGGTTATGGATTATAGATAGACATAGGATAATGATTATTTTACTATTATAATTATTTGTAGTATAATTTAAGTAGGAAATTTTTATATTGATTCCATTAACAACCAAATTACTAACGTGGTATTCACGAGATAAGAGTCCCTTGATCCACATGTCAAATGTTGACCTCCCCCTTACTCTTACAGGAGGGTTGAAGTCAAATCTTAAACCTTCATTCCTCCTATCCCCTTCATCTATTTTCCATCCTATCTTGGGTCATGTTTAGGCTGCATCTGCAAATCTTTTCAAGGTTCCAGAACATTTTTCATAAAGAAACCAATTTGACACTGCAAGTTATATCCCACGTAATATATTCTCTGCAGCTGAGACATAAGTGCCAAAAGCCGTAAAAAATCCATATAAAATTGTTGGCTCCTGAACAAATGCACAGAGATACTCAAATCTTACCTGCATCAGGAAGCCCATCTTTACGGATCACAAATGTCCGTTTCTTTTCATGATCCAGGATCGCAATCTTTGTGGGTGTGCTGAGGTATATTTTGTCCACCTGATGGCACATATTAGACTAATAAGTACTCGAGAGTATTATAGCCAACACAAAGACAAAATGAAGGGAAAAGCAGCATTGATCTACAAAACTTACTTCTGATTCAAAAGTAATTGCATCCCCTTGTTCAGTAAAACGCTGCTTGTTCTGCAGATTATCAAGATAATCCAAAGTTTCCAATCCTTCGACTCGAACTTCACTGAATAAAAAGAAAATGACATAATTAAAAGTCAGTGAGAAACTAAATAATGAGCTCAATAGTGAACTGTCAGTCCTAGGTTTGCATTGAAACAAAAATTGCATATTGTCAGCATGTCTATGATAGATGGTTGAGACAACCATGAAGCTTCTTATACTTTTTATAAATTAAAAATAGGAAAATATGAAATTACTTAACTCGAGAAGCTCAGCATTATTTAGGCATGTAAGGAATCACTTTTATACTGTACATGTAAACAATAGCAACCCACATCTTAAGTATTAAGGGTAATTTTGGGAAGCATTAAGATTAGATCTCTGGTTATTAGCAAGGTCAAGGTGGTATAAGCATGGGAGAGGGAAAAAAATAAAACCAACTTTGAAAAATCATGTTACAGATTCATTCACAATTTAAAGATAAGTTAAAATATAACTCAAAATTGTAGCAAAATAAGTCCACAACCAATAATTACAGTGTTATTTCAACAGATCCACACTATCACATAAAATTTAATTTTTCCAGCCAAAAGTCTGCCAAATATTCAGGCATCAGCAATATTATCCCCCACCCAACCCAACATTAAAATTTGCATGTATATTGAGGCACATGCACATGCTCATAGCAACTCCAAATTCAGGATTCTCAGATAAATGGTGACTTCGAAAAGAGAAAAGACACAGGAAGATGCTCATTGATTAAAAAAATCTGACATAGGATTAATAGATAGATAAAAAGAGACACCGAGGGTTGAGAAAAACAGAGGAAAGAAGGCTGGGCAGACACCAATCATGAGCACAATAACATAGTTAATCACCAAATACTATTCTCATTTCTATTTCTTCCTGTTTGAGATCAGAAAACACATCACATGCAATACAGGATAGAACTAAATCTAATTTGACAAAGATTCTTGTACATCTTGTAGGATCGGAAAATACTCCAAAATATTCAAGCAAGAAAAGAGTCCGTGCTATAGAGAGATATCTCACCATCATCATGACGTTCTATGGAGCCGTGCAATTGTATGTTTCAGATGCTTTAAAGATGACATAAATATTTCATGGCAGAGAAATAAAGAAAAAGGCCTTGGCTGTATGACGAAAGTCATGAGAGAGCAACACTTGTTCGAAGAATTCCAGACCTTTCTCACAATCTAAATACATAACACTTCATATTTCCTTTAACCTCTTCAAACTCAAGTACTCACTTTTCTAAGGTCCCGTGGTTGACACCAAACAATTTCATCATCTCAAACTACATGCTCACCAATCTATTACTCAATGTCAAAATTCACAACAGCCACAACTTTAAAGAATGCATGTGCTACTCCTTTCTTCGAAAGTAAAGCATTATTAAACAAGTAAAAACACAAAATTGAAAACATTCTAAACATGACCAAATGCTTAACAAGTTACACATATATGATCTATTTCACACTCCTTATTCCATAAAAACAAGCAAAAGCTGATTGGTTGAATAGCCTTTTCTTGGAACAATATGGCACGCAATTTACTGAAATTTATTGTATAATACTCGATAGAGATCAACTAAGGTAAAAATACGAAATGTTGAAGGTCTTATAATATTGGAAAATATATAAAAGAACATTTCATAAAATGGACAGATTGACTTTGTACTATAGCAAGTATTGCAGTTTTTGTAGGGTGGAGAGAGCAATCTTCTTTTCAACTTGTAACTATTTTCTTGTTAGAGGCATTTGATTTTACAACAATTTTAGGGATGGTTTTGCCTTTGGTGCACAGATGACACCACTAGCAAATCTGCATGCAATCTAAAGCTTACAATTTCAACCTTTAAATTTAAGAAGCCACCATGACTAACTCGTCTTGTTAAATTTAAAAAGGGAAGCAGGTTGCTCAACCCTCAGACAATTTCAAATACACAAAGGTTTACAAGTGGAGGTTAAGGAGTTTGGAGTACATTTGGGTACATTTTATAGGGCAGAGCAGAGGCAGTTACTTTTGTCTTCTTTAGAAATTACAAAAACAGATTCTGTCACATTCACAGTATATCTTACGCTTGGACTATGCTCTTTAGTTATGCTATAATAATCTATTTATCAATTCAGAGAGAAAAAAATCACACATAATTAATGTGCGTCAACTTCACGATGTACCTGATATCTGAAACAGAGAAATAGGTATGATATGCAAATGTAAATATAAAAGGCTTTCCATCAGTGTTGTTATTCCTGATACGAGACGTCAACATAAGATCTCCAGAAGGTCCCAAAGTTACCCGTAAGCGGAACTCAAAACTGCCAAAAAGCAGTGGAACACCAAAGATAAGAATCAAAACAATAATCTTAATAAAAAAAACCAGATTAGTAAGCGTCCCACCAATAAAACAACCACAAATATCTACCTATGAGGCCAGATTTTCATGTCCTCTTCAGTGGACTTGAGGATCAAGTCAACAAACGTCTTAGTGGGGGAGTTGGTTGGAAATGGAGGGGGATTGGTGTCAATGCTCCAAAACCTGTTTCTAGCAAATCCATGCTGCTCAAGAGAGCCATGATTGGAGAACTGCAGATATCGAGAATTTTCATCTCATCAAAGACCAAAGAGAAATGCACTCGTAAGTGGAAAGGAAAGAGGTCATGAGAATACTTGTGGAAAGCATATAGGAATCCCTCCACGAATTGGCTTTGGAGGTTTGAAAATGGCCTGCAAAATATGGAAAATATCACTTCTTCATTTAAAATAGACACCATAAATGTGACTTCTATCATTCAACAGAAGATAATTACTGTAGTAGGTTTAGCTTTGTCCATGAGATTGAGGACCAAATGATTATATTGCCTCAATCAAATTCCATGCCATCCAAGAGATAAAAAATGGAATGAAAGATGTAATGATACTGGCCAGCAATAAAAAATGGATGGATGATAGATTGAGGACTGTGTAACATCTTGCAGTTGAATAATGTCATAGCATTGCAGGAATGGACAGCTGATAAGAATAACATTTGAAACTATTCCCTCATAGCGAAGGAATAATTTACATTATTACAGTTAGATAGCTCGACTTTCTACAACAAAACCAGATGCTAAATCCACTGGCAATTACTACACAAATGACAATATGACTGGACAGGCAATTTGTAACTAAAAACCATTTATAAGAGAGAGAAATACCTTATTACTGACGAAAAGCAACTCCTCCCCATGATCATTTTTCCATGATGTCACGTGACCCCCAAAAAGATAAACCTGTAAATGAGATTAAGATTATAAACATAGCGGCTTCATAAACATTCGTAACGTGCATTTAGAACAAATGTGATACTGAAATACTTTGTCTTAGAAATAACTTAGAATAGCATTTAAATAATCCCCAAATACGTCTACACAAAAGATAGGCAATCCAAGGTCTCGCTAATGAAAGATGATACCAAAGAAAGATAACTTCTCAAAAAGAAAGTTTTCAGGTACTGCGGAAAACCATAGATGAGACATATTGTTAGATTTATCAGTTAACAACAATATTAGTAGAAAACCAAAGAGTTTTTATGGATTAAATGAATAATTTTTGTATTGCCACGAACAATTAATAAGGTAAAAAAAAAATTAAAAAAAAAAATTGAAAGAAAAAACTCACAATTTAAGGTGATTCATTCTCATGCAACTACAACTTCCACTTGCAGAATTGCACTATATCAAAGAAGAGAATTACAATGTGTCTTGGGCATATACTATGACAACATAAAGGAGGCTTTCCCTAATATCCTTTATATATGAGAAAAATATAAGAGCAACCTAATACATGTGTGAATTTGACAAATAGAACGGACGTTCTGCCCAGACCGTCGACCTTACCTCCGACTAGAGGAGAATGTGTATAATACATTAGGCTCCGCAAAACCAACAAAAGTACGAACAAAGGAAAATGATTTACTAATTGCCATCATTATTTTACTTATTTTATGATAAAATAATGCTCGATGTATTTTAACCTGTTTGACATGGACATTCAACTTCAGTTAGGATAGTTATACAACATATCTAACAAATCAAACATCTTAGATATGTTGATTCAGAGTTTATCTTGATGCAAACATTTGGCAATTTGAGATATAGCCTAGTCAGGTGTCTCAGGTAGATACTTCAAAGCATTTAGAAGCTTGTAACTATTTCAGGTAATAGCTAACACAAGTGGCTCACAGGAATGTATGTCAGTGATAATCAAAATAATAAAAAATTATTAACCATATTCATGAGGTGATATATAGATAATTATTTCCAAATAAGGATTTGATTTCATTTTTGCAATGCTCAAGAACTAGTAAATGTATGTGATGGACTATGCTGCATTATCAAAATCAACTCAAGTTATTCTATACTTATTGTACTATGCTGCATTATCAAAATCAACTCAAATTTAAGAACAAATATCTGATTGAAATGAATCATTTTTCAGTTGATGAAAGATCATTTTCGTATCCAAATCAACAGCTACGGGAAAAGCACATACATATGTGTAGATACGCATGCATAGGGTATCCGATTTAATTAAATAGCGCAGATCAAACGATTAAAAATGGAGATCAACAAAATTGAATTATTTGTCGCATCATTTTCAATTTTACTACAAAGTACAGATTAAATCTCAACAAAAAAATATAAAAAAATATATACTAAAAGGGTGAAACCAAGATACGGCGTCGTTTATATGTTTATACATATACCTCGGCGGAGCTGCCGCGGGCTTCTCGAAGGACGACCTTCTCGAGGCCATTGATTCCCTTACAAATCTCAACCGGAACCCTGTCGATCGCTGCCGTTACCGCCGTCGTCGACGACATCATGTGACGTCACAATCGACAACTATCTGTGTCTATATATGTATACAAAATTGTCGGTCTCAGTTATTTCTGTGGCATTTCATCAACAAATATTCAAATTATGCATACTGAAAAAAAATTTCAATTTCAAAATTTTAAAGCGATTGAATTTTGATTATCAGATTTTGGTGAGAAGTGTGTGCTTTTACACGTTTTCTGTGGGTTTCAGTTTTTTATGCGAATCCGTTTTATAAGAGAATGTACCACGCGATTCTGTTTTATATTGAGCAAAAGAATTAAGGGTAATTATTACCACCACAATTTCTTTTCATTACACCACTTAATTGTATTAGAAGTCCTTAATCTTTTCTATTATAGTACTTATGTTCCCATACTTTTTTCCCCCATATTCTTATTCTCAAATTTCATTAATCAGCACTTTCAGTACAAAAAGTCCATTAGTTATGCATAAAGGACTATTTGCCCTTCATATTTTTAATTGGCAAAAATTAGCATATATGGCCATGTTTGATCCACATTTTAGAAAAAAATACATTATTCATGTCAAATCAATGAAAAATATGTGATTAAAAAGGAAGGAAATGTTATAGATTTACGTACAATATTATTTTATTGAAAAATATATGATAGAAATAATGTCAAATCACCGTTGAAAAATGTATTATTTTAAAAATAATGTGGCTCAAACAAGCCCATAAAAAGTAAAACATAGTATTTTTCCATCACTGTAAAGCACAATAAAAGAATATTTAGATAAAAAAGATCGTTAGAGACTATATGTAGTATTTAATAAAAGGATTGAAAAGATAAGAATTTGACAAATAAAAAAGTGTGGACAGAAGTGAGATAATAAGCAAAGATTGAAGTTTTAATGCAATTAAAAAAAAGTATAACGAAAACAAATTTTGTGTCAATGTAGTTCCCATGAATTAATTATACATTTTCGAAAATACCAAAATAACCTTATGACTACTTTTTAGAATTTTGTAATTACATTTTATTATAAATGATTTGATATTTTTCTATCCACTTCGACCCTTTTCATTCTTATCCTTTTCCTTTTGCCATCACTCTCAATAAAAAAAAAGTTCAATATGCATTTGAATTCATCTATTACATGTATTTTATGTGAGGCTTTCTAATCACAATACTATTACAGTATTACTTGTTACAAAATTCATGTAAATACAAATAATTCGGCAAAAAATAATAATAATAACAACTAGGCAAGCAAGTAAAATTAATTATAAATAAAGGAGGAGATGATGACCTCTCATGAAGATTACATTTTGGTGGAAAATTTTTATTTAGAACCATCATATCTGATTTGGTTTCAATTGAAATCAGTTGAGTTCTGTGATTGAGAATCTAACAAGTCTTATTGAATTCTTGATTATAACTACATAACTAAGTTTTAATTTATTTCTGAAAATACTTTTTCATATTCTCTCACCACAATCATAAATTATATATAATCTTACGTGGTTAATATCGAAAGTTTAACTTAAAGTTTTATTATTGAAAATATAAGGCCTAAACGACATGAGAATTTACGTGATATTCTACACTTAATAGAAGATTACATTTTGGTGGAAAATTTTTATTTAGAACCATCATATCTGATTTGGTTTCAATTGAAATCAGTTGAGTTCTGTGATTGAGAATCTAACAAGTCTTATTGAATTCTTGATTATAACTACATAACTAAGTTTTAATTTATTTCTAAAAAGACTTTTTCATATTCTCTCACCACAATCATAAATTATATATAATCTTACGTGGTTAATATCGAAAGTTTAACTTAAAGTTTTATTATTGAAAATATAAGGCCTAAACGACATGAAAATTTACGTGATATTCTACACTTAATATTTTTTTTTTTTGAAGCATAAAAATTGGACAAAATGAGAAAATATGGTTTGAACGGAACATAACCAATCAATTTTGGTCCGATTCTATCCCATTTTCTTTCCCGTAGAATCGATTATTCCATTTTCACAATTTTCAATAAAAATAGATTTAGTCTGATTCTCAAGATATCAGGACCAGACCATCCTATGTTCACCCCTAATTTTTGGCATCATATGTGTATAGCTTCACTTGTTGAGTTTCAATAATATGATTAGCACGCCAAATAATCGAGAAAAAATAATTGATTTGGGTAAAATATAAAACGAATGCATAAAATATTAATCATCCTATCTAAAATGTAAGAAGTGAGGTTTAGACAATTGAGTTTCATTCTTGTTTTTGGAGCTTACAGAATACATACAATGGGGGTGGGCGGGATTTTTTGACAATATTTTATTCATATTGAACCCACTTCCATGTGAGTATCTGTAATGATTCTGTGAAATGCCAATATGTACAAATAGAAAATTCTCTTTCCTTGGATATAGAAGTTGGACGAAAAGCAGGATAGGGCGATCTAGTTTAGGCTTGGGCTGATTAGGGAAACGGTAGACCTTCAACACTAGTCTAATAGCTAACTTTTCATGTTATTCCCATTAGGCACCCTGGCCAATGCCTCTTGTCCTAGGCCACATAGGCTCGGGATTTTTCCGAGGGGACATGTGCCTAGGTGCCCTGGGATTTCTTGCAAAACTCTAGGCACCATCCTGCCATAATCCACACTCTGACCAATTTAATTGTTATTTTTTAATAAGAAAATCTCATATCTAAAAATTAAGTATGATCCATTTAAAAATTAAGGCATAAGGTACAAAACTTCAAAAATCAAATATTAATTACATTTTATTTATGAAATAATTAATTAAAATCATATTTTATTAATTAAATAGATTAATGTCACAATTCTATATAGTTTGATTACAAATTATCAAATTAACTAGTCACAAATTATTTTTTGATCATAAATCAAAAATTTTATAGGTCGCAAATTATTTCTCAATTTCAAATCGAAAATTTTATAGATCACGATGTATTCATCGATTGCAAAATCAAATTCATAACTTATTTAACGATTACAAATTAGCAAATTAATTGATTACAAGTAATTTCTCGCTCACATCTTAATAAATTTTGAGTCACAATCATATTTTTTAGATCGTATATTATTAATTGATCACATATTATATTTGGTCACAAACACTTCCGTCCCATCTCTGCTTGTGACCACTGCACCACTATCGTGATCATCGTTGTCATCGCCGTAGCCGTCGCCGCCGCCATAACCATCACCTCACCAAATTGTGCAAAGCCACCACACACAACAGTGACCACAAAACCACTACCACTACAGACATGACACCACCACATACCATTTTCCAACGCCATAGTAGCCCAAATTCGTCGACTTATAAATCCATCGTCATCCACACTCAAACCATACCCACAATATCCTAATCCACCAACTGCATCACACAATGCCACCATACCCCTTGCCCACTGGTAGACCTTGGGGTCTTGGGGGATCACTTGACCACCCAAATTTTGGGAAATATTGATCGAAATCTAAATTATAATGTAAATCAAAATTAACAATTAATTTTAATAACAAATTTCATGGAATCCTTAACTTTTTAGCTTTTATCAAAATTTACTAAAAATTTGATTTTAATCCCCACCAAACAGTAACAAAATAAAAATAAATTTGAATTTTTTTTCCTTTTCTCTTGCTCTATTTTACAATCTCTTTTGAGCTTTTTACCAAAACTTTAAATCTTTCTAATTTTTAAAAAATTATCCTTAATTTCTCATAAATTATCACATATATTTCAATTTTTCAATTAATTAGAACCTAAATTTGCATTTTCTCCTATCCTATTTGTGTTTATAAAATGTGTCTGAACTGATTATATCCAATTTGACTTATATTTAATTTATTGTGCTTATTTGATTGATTATTAGTGTTGAATATTGATTATATGTTTTTCCTTTCGTTACTTGAATTGATTGTATGTTTGTATCAGATGCATTTTAAAATTTTAAAACGCAAATATGCATTTTCTTGTAATAAGCAAAACATTAATAAAATTACTATCCGAAATAAATGGATGAAAATGATGATCAATATATTAATGAAGAAATATTTTTTAAATGTAAATATGCATTTTTCAGGTCAAGTATGAATCGTTCAAAAATAAATAACAAAGTATTCGATATGTATAGAGTTTGATTGTGCTCCTAATTCAAAATGTTTGCGTTTGCCCTACCCACAGTCGTTGCGGTGCTTCCATACTCACTGCGCACAGCCGCTACATCGCTGGTGCTCATCTTCGCTTTGAAGCATCAACATTGCAGATTGGTGGAGATCTTGATGTGTTCATTTGCTGTGGCAGCAGCGCATTGTCGTTGTAGATCTGTTATTATTTTTTTCTGAGTTTGATTTCTCCTTGGTTATGGTGGTTTGTGGTGGCCGATGGTTTTATTTGTGCTTTTTGCGGGGGATTGGAGTTGTTGCGACAATTATGTGGTGGTGATGTGCTACTATGCGGTGCGATGGTGGTTTTGCCATTGCAGTGGTAGTTCTGAAATTTTGAAATTTTTTAGAGAGAGAGAGAGAGGATGTGGGTATGTTAATTAATTTAATTTTATAATATTATTATTAATATTAAAAGATGAATTATCATCTGATTTTTAAATAAAAATTCTTTGAATTTGATTTTTGAATTGTGTATTTTAAAACTTTGAGTAGGTGTAATTTCCATTTCTCTAAATTACGAGCCTTGATGCTTTTGAGTTGCAAAGAATTTATTGAAAATATTAGGTGTAGAAGATTCAAATATAAATAAAATCATTTTATTTCTAAATTGAATTTAATTTTTATTAAACGAGATAGTTTGATATAAGTTAGATCCAGTATCAGGTTTTTGGGGGGAAAAAAAAAAGATAGGACGTACAAACATAATTGAATAATTTCATATGCTTTTTAGACATGGCGATTCAATATTATTGATGGTGCTATCATTATGTGAAGAAATGTAACAAGTGAATCTCCTTTTTACATATTATCATTTTCCGAGTAATTATAGATGAGCATGATTCGATTTTGATTTTTGATGAGAAGCCAATAAGAATTATATGTGGTGCAATGATGAAATTGATGGGGTTCCAGTTCTTTTTATGCTTTTAGAAAATTAAAATGTGAAATATATTGTATAAATTTTCTGATTTCACTTTCAAAATATCTAATTCAAGATTCAATAGTGTTGTTATTTTGAATTCATATCAATTTATGTAGTTAGGTGTGAGAACTAGACATCAATCGTCTTATTATGGTTCCAAGATCCAAAGTTCAGTTTAATCGAACCATACTGATCAATTTAATCCGATTCTTATCCCAATTTGTGGATGAATAGGTGATTTTAAGCGTCTCATGACAAATATTGACATTCAGTTTGTTTCTACGAGTCTTTGTGAAAAGATCGTCTATCCCAATAAATTGTGTCTAGAGTGTAACACATTGCAAATGAAAAATAAGATCTCCCTCACAACCATGTAACAAACACTTAATATGCCAAATATAAGATTAAGCATAGGATTAAACCATGAAAAAAGAGATTAAGTCGAAAAAATGGGTTACAGGAGAGGTCATGGTACTCTTAAAAAGATCTAAAGATCATATCGAGCTTTCTGTGGACATTTTGAAATACACAAACCAAATTTAAATATCAGGAACTATGGCCGCCTCTATATCTTGACAGTTTCATAATGGTTTGATTTTGCAGCCTGTTACTTTTACATGAGATTTGTTCGGATTCTTCAAACAGTGTAGTGCTGCTGGATTGTATCGATGTCAAGTCCTTTCAGCTTCACGACTGACTCGACATGACCCTTGAGCGTGTTCAGCTCCCGAAGCCTATAACAATAACAAAATGATGTTACAGTTTAAGCAAGAGTGGTGAGTCGGGACTATATGAACAAAGTCAGATCATACCTTGCAATCTCAGCTCGCCTCTTCGCCTGTTCTGCGATTTCAGACAGTTCTCTGTAGCTACTCTTCTCGGGGAACAGATTAGTATTCTCCTTTGTTTGGAGGCCGTGTAAGGTCCTCTGAGCAAGAGCCCACTGAGCTTCTCTCTCTTCTTTTCCATAATCCTTCTTCGTGGTGAACGCAGTCTGTTTCAAGAAGAAAGATCGGAATAGGGGAATTATTATGACTTTCCAAGTGCAAACAGGCTTATGAGTAGAGCTCTATTAAAAAAGCACTCTTTCTGTCTGCCGTACATCAGAATTAGTGAACTAAAACTAGAACGTAAAAATTGGAGAAATTAGATCATAGGGATTTCTGTAGAATAGTAAATGTACCTTGTAGAAAGGTAAAAATTGGAGAAATTAGATCATAGAAAATGTACCTTGTTTTCGTACAAGTTCAGCCATGCTTTCCCACTTAAGATGTATCGGATGGCAAACTTCATGATGTCGAGAGGAACGTAGAAAACCACGCTGTAAAGCCAGATTACTCCGGCCCATCCCCAACCACATCCTTTAATTCTAGCAAAACCCCAATCGGCGTATACAGCTATTAAAGTTGCAACCTAGAAGATCAAATCAGTTTACGCATATTAGAGCTTGGTTTTGATCTTTCTATACACTTTTTGAGCTCAAGAAAATGTAACTTTTCCATAAAGTTCAAAGGACATGGAGAGAAGTTTTCGAGCAAATAACAAAGAACACAAAAGAGATTGAAGTCTTACCAGTTGTGCAATCAAGAAAGCAGTCAATAACAGCAGTCCAGGGCGTTCGATAAATGACCAACTGCGTGATCTGGTCACGAAAATTAGAGCTTGACTAACAATACTAACTTGCAGGTATAGAGCAGCCATCATTTCGTCTTCGCTATTTCTAATGGACCTTACACCAAATTTGTCCTGCATTTGATAGCAAAGAAAATTATTACATGAAGGCACAGTTGCAATGCTTGTTTCAAATGGAGAATTATTAAGAGATGGAAAAGAAAGAATAGAAGAAATATTGCTAGTACTTACGGAGAAGAAGTCAGTGTCCTTCATGATCCAGAAGAATATAACTGTCATCAACGCTAGGTAACCTCCGAGTACTATTCCAGTGGCAAAAATCTCTTTCAACTTCCAGCTATCGGGCAATGGAGATGCCTTAACTCTATCCTTTGAGATTGTCATGATTGTTCCTGAAATAGAATATATATTTTGAAATATAAGAGCCACGAAAAGTGTAACCAACTGAACAGAATATTTAAGGTACAAACAATGAGGGAGAATCATACCATCATTGAGGATGGCAATGATCAGAACCATGAATGGAGAGAAATCAAACTTCCAAATCAAAGCAATGAACATAAAACCGAACTGCCAAACGAAAAGTGAATGCCATAAGAAATCAATTGATTATAAGCACTATAGTGATCATCTCTCTCTTTTTCCAATGTGACTGTCAACTTACCACAATACGGATAGTGATCGAGACAGCATATATCTGCCAAAACAAAGATGTAAAGAATTTAAACCTGTTTCGACCAAAAATTACAACTGCAGAACAAATGTGAATTGAAGAAACTAACTGTATAATTTTTCATTCTTTGGAAAATAGCTCGACTGGTCAACACTGCACTGATAATAACACTCAATCCCGGTTCAGTGAGAACAATGTCAGAAGCACTTCTTGCGGCATCGGTAGCATCAGCAACGGCAATTCCAATATCAGCCTTCTTTAAAGCAGGGGCATCGTTTACTCCATCTCCAGTCATTCCAACAATGTGTTTCCTCTCCTGCAACTTCTTCACTATCTCATATTTGTGCTCTGTACAACAAGAAAGACTATGAGTTGAAAGAAGATTTGGGATTTTTCAGATCTGAAACAATATCAAAGATGCAAGAAGCTAAAAACGCTTACCTGGAAAAACTCCGGCAAAACCATCTGCCTTCTCAATCAACTCTTCAATGGGAAGGCCGGCTATAGACTCATCCTTGTGTTGCCCAAGTAAAGAAGCAGATGGATACATATTTGTTCCCATTCCAAGTCTACGCCCCGTCTCCTTAGCAATGGCAAGTTGATCACCTAGAATTTACACATTGATATGAATATGAATATGAATTTTGTTATGAAGAAATTAAACAAAAAAAGGCAAGGTCTGAAGGTTTAATTTTTCAGGGGATCAAATATGAAATTACCAGTAATCATTTTAACATTTACGCCAAGATTGAGAGCCCTGCGGATGGTCTCAGCACTGTCATGTCTAGGAGGATCAAACAGGGATAACAAGCCAACAAATTGCCATGGACCACCAGGGGCATCTTTTGATTGCTCTGGAACTTCCTGTAAATATAGAAAATTAGCCACAGTTGTTAAAATAATTTTGCTAGAGAAAATCCGAACTTGAATAAGAAAAAGTAACTAACTTAACAAATATTGGAACGCACATAAGTTTAACTACTTCTCAAGGCTTAAACCATTAGAGAGAAGGGAATTTAATTATCTATGTATCTTCAACACTCCCCTTTCACATGCAAGGCAAATTTGTTTTATTATTGAAGGCTTAAGACAGTATTCATAATTGAGTTGCAATAAGACTCGAACTTAGGACTTCTATGTTGAATTGAATATTTTGGTCTAGAGCTGAAGTTGTTAAAGAGAGGAATGGTATATTTATTTATATTTATGTCACACACATGCAAGTAGGAGAAAATATCTAGCAGCAAATACTGTATTGCAAACCTGTCTTGCAACAGCCAATGACCGGAGCCCGCGCTCAGCAAATTTATCAATTGTTGCATGAACCTTTTTCTTCAAATCTTCCTTGCAGTTGCAGAGCGTTAAAATCTGACTCCAGGCAAAGACGAAAATGAAATAGGTTATCAATATTTTGCTTAATATTCATATATCAATTCATTTAGCTAGAATCCAAGAAATTTATTAGAATTAGAAAGAGCACCTGTTCAGGAGCTCCCTTGCTAGCCCGATGCCAATTTCCTTCGGAATCAATGAATGTCAAAGCAGTCCTCTTGTCCACAGGATTGAAGGGGAAAAAATGGACCTCCCTGATACCAGCCCGTGCCTAAAATCAAATACATGTATCATGATCCCGTGCTTCACCTTCTCAAATTTACTCCTTGGGAATTAAAAGACAATAAAAGGGATAAATACCTCCTTCGGATCAGCTAGGGTACCAACAATGGCTGCATCGATCGCATCTTGATTTTCAGTTCGAGAAGCCCTAGCAGCAGTGAGCAACACATAATCGGCATCGACTCCCTTTGCAAATACCTCGATCAAGCTTTTATCGACAGTCAACTTATTGAGTGTCAAAGTGCCTGTCTTGTCACTGCACAGGACGTCCATACCGGCCATCTCTTCAATTGCCGTCATTCTCTTGGTAATGGCGCCCTGCTGCGATAGCCTGTGGGACCCGATAGCCATCGTGACAGACAAGACGGTCGGCATAGCAATGGGAATTCCTCCAATTAAGAGGACAAGGAGATTATCAATCCCCTGCCTGTACTTCCTGTTCTGAATCGGGTACATGACAATTATCTCGACCACCATTCCAACAGCAATGGAACAAATACAAAAGTTACCGATTGCCGTGAGCACTTTTTGGAAGTGCCCGACCTGGTTGGTGCTATCTACAAGATGTGCTGCCTTCCCAAAGAAAGTATGAACACCGGTGGCAATAACAACAGCTTCGATTTCACCTTGTTTGCATGTCGACCCAGAAAAGACTTCATCATGAGGATTCTTGGTTACAGGAAGTGACTCTCCTGTGAGGGCAGATTGATCAATCTTCAACGGATCACCTTCAAGAAGACGAGCATCAGCAGGAACGATATCTCCCAGTTTTATGCTTATAATGTCTCCAGGAACCAAAATGGCAGCTTCCTCTTCGCTCCAGCGACCGCCTCTAAGGACCTATCACAGTAGCACAAAAAATGCTACTCATTCTTGGAAAAATTATTGAACTACAGCCTACAGCCTCGTCTACAAGGAATGTTAAAAAGTTTTGTACCTTTGTTTTAGGAGCAAGACCAGCCATAAGTGCTGCAGCAGCATTTCCGGCATTGTTCTCTTCAATGAAACTGATAGTCGAGTTGATAACAAGCAAGCAAACAATACCAACAAAGTCTTGCCAATCCGGGGGCTTTCCACCTCCATTAGCCAGTGCAATTGCCATTATAGCTGCAGCTTCCATCACCCAGGAGAGTGGATTCCACATAAATCCAAGAAACTTGAGTATCTTGCTTTCCTATTAATTCCAGAACAAAAACATCATCAAGCATTGCACTATAAATACATGGCTGTTGAATAAAAGCCATTAGTCATTAATGGGAATACTTTTTTCTCCTCCAATTTGTTTGGCCCGAAAATTTGAAGCCTGTTGGCTCCTTCCTCGGGACTTAACCCCTCCCGGTTACATTTCAGCTGCTCGAACACTTCCTCGATGGGAACTTTTTCCTGTTACACAAGGAACAAAAATAAGCAAATTAACATTCTTCATATGTAAACTGCTACTCGAAACTATAGCCTTAATATTGTTTATCTTTGGAGGGAAGCTTATTATGAAACATATATAGAACTGGAAAGATTACATTACGAAAATTGAATCCATTTAATTATTATGTGACCAAACAAGTTTATGGAATATTGCATTACTTTTATTTATAAAATTTATCGATTTATTTAACCATTATATTATAATTAGCTTATTGGAATTATTATTTTTTTAATTAGAAATTGTAATTCATGCAACAATTTCTTGCTTAATTAATTTCTAACAATTCACCATATGCTCACAACAAAAACTTCCAGGTTGTCAAAAAATCAAAGAGACTTGAAGTGAGAATTGACCCAAAATATTTAATTAAGTTCAAGAGTTTAGTTGAATTTGCCTTGGATTTCGATGATTGTACACGGGCATGTCACCGCCCGTGTACACTCCCCTCACATGAGGCTTCCCCTCATGTGAGGGGAGTGTATATCGAAGTGTCAACACCGGTGTACATATGTGTCAACCTTAAATTTTGTCAAAATCGAACGAGATAGGAAGGCAAATGTCCATTTATGTGTACAAAATTGTAAAATCCGAAACAGTCAGAAAAAGCAAACAACCGGCCAGTTAACTGGAATTTCTTTTTATTTTTGGGTCGACTCCAATTCAAATATGAGTTTTTCTATGTGTACACCCCAGTTTAGAAATAGCAAAATCCATCAAATATTTGTGCTTTGCCTTTTTCAACTCTACGCCTAAGCACTTTATTTAAACATATAGTCCTCATTCAGGCTCCATTAAAATGTATTTTTTTAAGGAAAAATATGTTTAGAAATAGTTTTTTATTTGGAAATGTGTGGTTAAAAACGAAAAAAATTTGGATTTATATATAATATTATTTTATTAAAAAAATATATAATTGAAAAGAAGAAAGAGATACCTACCTTTATTAAAATGGAGGGGCATAATCTATATAGCCCTTGTTTGAGCCCAATTCTCTTGAAAAAACACATTTTTCAACAGTATTTTGATATTATTTCAACCACACATTTTTAAATAAAATAATATTACACACAAATTCAAAACTTTTCCTTATTTTTTAATCACACATTTTCCATCAACACACTATTCAAAAATTCACTCTTCTCCCAAAATGGGGCTCAAACAAGAAAATAGTGTATATGTATTCCTTTCTTAACTGTTATTCACATGAAGAATACTAGCTTAGAGAGTCTATATGTACAGAAAATTTGTTTACAGAACTTCTACAGTATACGCATAACATGAAGGTAGGTGATATTTTTGGGCAATATTTTAAATATGTAGAGCCCATCTTCATCTCTCACCTTTGTAATTATTCTGTGAAACCATTTATGTACAAATGGTTTAAGGCATACAAGCTAAAGACTAAAGTTGACTTTTCCAATTACGCCTGGGCCCCAAAAATCAAATTCCGTTTTCTTCAAATCCCAAAAAGAATAGTATTGTTTTCTCAACCAATCACTACGCATTCAAGTGCTGCACTTTTGACGGGGTGAAATTTGCACGTGTAATCCACGCGATTAACAAAAAGGTTATCTTTGATAAAAATAGAAAAATATAGGGACGCCAAGAGAAATATTTTTTTGAAATGCATTTATTGGTGAGTGTCAATATCAAGACCGTGACAGAAAATAAAAGTCCTTAACAAAAGTTGAACTTCTCTTAAGTACCACGGAGAAAGTACCTAAACAAATACCCCAAATACATAAATTCAACCAATAAGAAATTAAAGACACCATGGACAATAACATATAATGAAAAATAATACATAGACGTAGTTGAGATAAATAAACTTTTATAGTGAAATTACGAGAAAATTGGGCTAAATTGATTTTTCTATTGTGATCAAAGCACTATCGATCTACAATAACCACCGACTCTTTTTTTTTTCCCCCCATTTTATGAGGTTTAGGTATTAATATATTATGTTGGTCTATCCCCCAAAGTCACAAGTGATGCTATTTATCACATCATTTAAATTATTTATTTTATAAAACAGTATTTCCAATCAGAAGTCAGAACATAAGAAGAGTTTTCTTTTGCAATTTGTTGTGCTGAAATGATTGACCAACTTGTCCAACAGCACCATGTGAAGCCGAAATTTGTGCATAAGAATATGTTCGTCTGTCCTATTCTTATACATGCAAGCAATTACATAGTTTCTTTAATTTTGCTTAAATAATTGGCCACATGACGAACATGTTCTGTAGATAAAAATTCAATATTAATAAATAAGAAATAAAGAAATTCTAGGAGAAAGTCAACAACAAAATTTTACTATTATTATTATTATTATTATTATTATTATTATTATTATTTTCAAAAAAAGAAGAAATTTGAGTGTCGAATACCATCATTACAATCTAAAAGTCTAATTTTTGATAAGTTTGACCCGAACCCGTGTAAAAGATGGCAAAGTGAAAGATGACAAATAGCAGTCTTTTGTGGAATTCTTGTACAAGTTGTTGCTTGTTAATTCTTCGTCTTAGTATTCCATAATAAGAGAAGACATGTAAAAGTGGAAAAGAAATACTAGGCTCGACCACAATGCGAGTCAGCTCCTACTCGCCTATGGAACAAACCAAGCACAAGATGGCTCGTTTCCAAAAATTTCGGATCGAGTCGCGACTCACCAATTTCTATTTTTTAACGAAATTTGCATTGTCACTCAAAGATTACGAGTCGGCCCACAAGCCAACTCGTGTGAGTCGACAACCAGCTCGTGCAAGGTTTTCGCTGCTCGGCTTGTTTGTAGGGTGAGCAGCTCTCACTTAACACCCTAAAAAGCAAGCATCTTAACCAAGCTTTTATTAAGTCGAAAGATACACAATATTGAACAGAATTAAACACAAGAAAAAGGAGCTTTTGAATTTAGTTCGGTGTTGTATAATCTAAATTACCGAATAATCATAAAGCTAAAGTTTTTACTAAATTTAATAACATTGAAAGACATGTGGTATGGAAAAAATTAAACAGAATAATAAATAAGATTTTAAAATACACTTTACCCGATAGAGTTAAACATTAGAAGAAAGGATTTAACTTCGTTTCTTTCTGATATCGTTGCAATCTTCCTTAACAACAAGTCATAATTGTAGTGCATACAGAAAAAACAAATTTTAAGAAGAAAATCACTTATTTTATGAGCAGCAATAATCCTCCGAAGCAAGGCGATTTAACAGAACAGTCAAACAAGAACAGATTTCATTTTGGTTAATTTAATTTAGTGAACGACAAAAATAAGTAAATCTCACTTCAAGATTTTTTTTTTACAGAAACTAAGCAGAATAACAAAAAAGTAGAATGGTGCATTTATATATATGTATAGTTACCAGATCAACGGTTTCATTTTTTATCTCTTCAAGACTGATTCCGCCCATGGTTGGCTTACGGCAGAGGCGGAACTCCGGCGAAACAGATCACAGAGAGAGAGAGATGATGAAAGAAAAAAATATATTAGTTCAGAGAATCATGGAATGAGATTTGTCAATACCCAATGAAGAAGAATGAAAAGGGAAAATGCCTCTTATTTCCTCCTTCAGATGAGCCTCCCCAGGCCCTCTTTTATACGTATTTTCGTAATTTTATGAAAGGTAGAAATTTCAATAATTTTAAAAAGGAAGAAATATTTGCATAATAATCAAATCCAAAAAATGGATATTTATGTAATATACTATACAGAACCTATCCATACAAGAATATATGCATTAGAATAATGCTATATAATGGCAATTTAGGTGAACATATTTGATAGGTTCAATTTAATGAATCATATGACATTATATATTTAAACAAATTTATTATTTAATATCACGTAGCTGTCATTTAGATTTGTACTTGACATTAATGGTGTTTAGCCCCCGTTTGGTCTCCATTAAATTTCATCATTTTTTCTAATTTTCAATCAAATAATTTTGTATAAAATAATATTATTAATAAATTGAAAATTTTTTCCTTTTTTTTTTCAACCATTCAATTTTATTTATTTATTATTTTTTAAAAACACCACTCCGTGTTTATTGACTCTTGCATTTTGCATTGGGGTGCTAAAAAATTTCTCACAATCCCACCCAAATTGGGAGTCTCCGACTCTTTACGAGTCCCATATTGGATAAATTAAGATCCGTTGGACCCTCATTTTTTGAAAATAAAAATGGGTGTAATAGTATTTTTTTGAAAAATGTGTGTTTAAAAAAGAAAGAAAAGTTTTCGATTTACGTGTAATATTATTTTATGGAAGATTGTGTAGTTAAAAATAAGAGAGAAATAAAATGTAATAGAATGAAAATTAATGAGGCCAAATGGGTATAAAATAGACTTTTTGCTTTTTCTGCAATCTTGCTATAATGACCAAGTCAACGGAAGGATTATGTGTCAATACATAATTGGATAGTTTGAAAAAAAAAAAAAAAATGAAGAGCACAACACTTAATCCCACTCTGCCACAACACCTTGTCACCTCACTTCATGTCATTGACCCTGGCTAAGGAGCTTTAGGGCCCATTGGGCAGGATTTTTGAAAAGTGAAAAGGAGTTTTTGAGATCAAAAAGTTACTTTTGAACTCGTTTGGCTAATTTTGTTAATATGCTTTTGGTAGTTAAAAGAGTTTTTAGGAGAAGCTGGTTCAATATAGTTTTTTCTAAAAATATTTTCGGAATAGAAAGTACTTTTAAATATTAATTTTCGAACAAAAATTATGATAGCTTCCTTCAAAAATTGTAAAAGAAAATGCTATGACAAGCGGGTTCTAAATTCTTCTGCTTATGCTGTTGTCAACATGGCAGCCATTATTGTATCTTCAGCCTCTGAACCGTACAATAGGTTAAAATTTTAGTTGACTAATTTTTAAATTTTTTAAATTTTTTGGACATTTTAGTTGACTATTTTTCTTTACATAAATAATAAAATAAATTAATTTTTTTTCCAAATTAAATAATAAATGTCACCTAAAAATTATAGGGAAAATGTTATCCAAAATAAATAATAAATATTATCTAATAATAATAGGGAAATTGGTATTATTGGTCTAAAACAGTAAAGAAATATTAATGACCAACTTGCTCTTTCTTAAAAGTTAACTTCTATAGCCATTTTACCTACAACAAATTCGCCCAATAGCCGTACCTTTTTTCCTATAATTGTGAAGTTGTTTAATTTTGTTCATTAATTACAAAATTTTCTGTCTATAATCATAAGATTTTAAACTTTGGACATTTATAAATCCAATTTTAAGAGTAATTAACTGCGTGATTGTTTTTGGAAGAAGTCAACAGAGTTTTTCCATAAAAAACTAATAAAAGTCAAAGCCAAGAATATTCATAACTTTGGAAATTGAATGGGAATCAAACGGTGCCATGATCCCCTAATTAAAAATATATTCAATGTCATTTTTACACGTATATAATAATCCCATGGGGTAAAATTAGATTAAATTTAGTGATATTCAACGGAGTAGTAGTAACTACTAATAAATTATTTAGTTATTTTTTAATTTATAGCTATAAGCATGATGGTCACAACTTTTTAGATTCAATATTTACTTATCCAAGGAAAGGAAAGAATGGAAAATAAGAAGTTACTTATAAGTGGCAAAAAGAGCTTTTAGAAACACACTTCATACTTAGGGTGAAATTCCTTTTAGATATAATTTTATGTGAACTGGTAGAAATTAGTTGGGTAGAAGTCACGTTTTGTACATCGTCCAACATTGATGCATTGTTCTAAAAAGCGACGCCAATGTGCGATGCATGGTGGAAACGTTAAGCCATTTGGCTTGACGCCTTATTTAGCGGTCAACAATATGCGTGCCTAAGTGTGTATAATTTTTTTTAAATTTTTATTTATTTATTTTTAACAATTCTTTTAAGTTAAAATTTAAATATTGATTTCTTCACTTCGTCAGTTCTAAATTCAAAATAGTCATTTGAAGCCTTGAACAAAGGAAATCTCTAAAAAATTTCTATTTATTTACTAGTTAATATTTACATTTGGAACTTATTATTATTTTTTTTTGAAACTTTTGAAAAATTGTGCAAATTTTCTATAAATTTGTTTTAGATGTTTGGCAGGTATTATTTTTAAGTATTAAATGATTTTTCGATTGATTAAAAATTAAAATAATATTAAAATAAGAAAACGTCTTTTTATGTTTATGCCTCACCTAACCCATAACTTGACCTCCACGTGTTGTAGCACATTATGCATTTTAGAACACTAAAGTTGTAGTTTAATTTAGAAAATTTTCTACTTATGTCAAGGTATGCATCAATTAAGTTTGGAATATTTCAATACTCGAAATTATACTTTGGATATTTTGTAAATGGAACAATTTGAGTCAATGTAAATACTAAAACCAAATGCAAACTTGAACTCTGGATTCCGCTTTTGATTGGATTCAACTCTACTCATAATAACCCTTCTTTTTTTTCTTTTTTCTCTTTTTTTTAAAGAAAAAATAAATATGCAATACAAATTATCTTTAACAATATCTAGTAGAAATAAAATATGCCACCACTTAGCATCCAATAACTAGCTTAATATCATACAATCCTGGCTGTAGCTTTGTGTACGTTGCCTCAAGAAGGGTTTGTGAGTGAGCCATGCGTAAAATGCTATTTGAAATGACTACGAACGAGAGTGATGTGATATAATTATTCAAATCGATGAATTTGAATAATTATGATACTTATTACTTGTGTCTTGCAGATTTGTACTTCCTGAATGTTGAAAAATTGCTACTTTATTAGATCGAATAATAGGGTAAAGGTGATTAAATTGTCGGAAAAAAAAATATAAAGGGGCAAATTCGGTTCCAAAGTAAAGTACCCATGATTTCGATTCAATAACCAAGAACTGTATAGTACACGGTCAATAACCAAGAACTGTCTAGGACACAATCAATTCTTAGATATTCACGATTTGAAATTACCCAAATTTTTCTCATATGAACCTTAGAAGAACAAGGTGATTAAAATTATCGTTGTGTACCTCTCCTATATAACGCTAATTTCCTCTGGTAGTCAAGGGAAGACTCGATATATATATATATATATATATATATATATATATATTAGGCATTCATCTGACTTTTACACGGTCGAGATGGGACGACACAAAACACACAACACCGTTGAAGGAGAAACATCATGTGATGTTCCAGCACCTCGCCCTTTGATGGACCCTAAAAACCAATATTGTAGAACAAAAATAATTAATAAGAAAGTCAATAATACATTATTAGTACATGGTATGTTTCCAATTTATCCGTGCAAAGGTCACACTGTCTGTCCAATTATACTAAAGTCTTCCTTCCATTTTCTGCGGGTTAGAATAGATCTCAGCACGTTTGGCAAACATGAAGGTCTTGTTTGGCACGTATTAAATAGTATATAAATTAAGTATAAAATAATTGTAGATAATACTATGTGGATAATATTGGAGCATCTCCAATGGGTCTTGTGATTTATAGTCTATGTGGTACTTGAATAAGCGGACTTCTAGTTTATGTGATTTTTTGTCTAGTGAATGGATCGTCAAGTTTATAATTGGTCACCAATAAATTTCATTTATATTATGATATTTAAGTCAATACATCTTTTATCAACAATAAATTAAAGGTAGATAAAATAGAGTGGAAAAGCAAGAAAATCTTCGTATTCTAGGAATAAAAACGAATTAATTAAAATGTTGAGTCATCATGTCTAGCAGAGATTTTACATCTAGACCTTTGTATAGACATTATTAATTTTTTTTGTCTGTCACATTCGCTTGGCAAAATTCTAATCAGCTTGCATTGGAGATCCATTTTTTTTAAACACCATATTTTTGCTTTCGTGACAAAAATTTAAGCAATCCACGATTGCATTGTGTAAGAGGACTAATTCCCAAAACATAGTGTGTTGTTTCTAGAGTTTGAAGCTACTCCTTCGAAAACAATTCGACAGAATCACTTGAATGTAAGAATTTGATCAATAGGATCTAAACAGTAATTTGAGCCCATCGATTTCACGATGTTTCCTTAAAACGAATTTGCTGCCTTCAATGGTGCTAAAGGCGTCCAGCAATCGTTTCCCAGGATAGAACGAATTTTCGTCTCCTACGGAAGCAGCACTGCAATCTACAGGAGTTCCAACGAACTCAACAAAGTGTGTTTTACTTCGAGACAATATCAGAACAAGAGAGAGGGAAATGAGATTCAAAGCACAGAAAGTTTGCAATAAAAATGGTGTAAATTTTCTGGTAGAAAGGTTGGCTATTTATAGACTTGTTCGTGGCCATTCGAACAGTCATCACCTTTCAGAAAATTATCCACTGAAATTTGGGCTCAAAGTTGACTCATTAACCATTTTTTCCAACATAGTGTTCTGGAGGATTCTCGAG